AACCCCTCCATAACAACACGAAAAAAGAAAGATGACAAAGGATCTCCCTGTCTTATACCCCGAGGGCAACCAAAGAAATCAGCGGAAGAACCATTCACAAGAACTGAAAACTTGACAGACGAAAGACAGGTCTCAATCCACTTCCTCCATTTACTTCCAAACCCCATTCTTTGTAACAAATAGAGTAGGAAATTCCAATTCACATGATCATATGTAGGAATTGAATGACTTACAAATTTATTCAATAAATTTCTAAAAAAGGAACGATGCCTAATGAATGGAGAAAAAGTGCAATTGTCGTTTACCAACAAAAAGAGAAGCACAATTGTCCTTATAGACAAAAATAAAGGTGATATTCAAAATTATGGTAATTATCAAGAAACTAAATTAATGAGTCTTAAAGGGAAATGTGGGAAAGAGTTATAGAACAAAGATTAAGGAATGTTACCTCAGTGTCCGAAAATCAATTTAGTTTTATGCCAGGTAGATCTACTGTGAAGGCCATTTATTTACTTATATAATTGTAGAAGAATGTAGAAGTAATCAAACAGATCTAAGTGTGGTTTTTATAGACTTATAGAAGGCATATGATCGAGTTTAAAAGGATGTAATTTGGTGAACTTTACGTAGAAAACGAGTCCCTTTTCATCTTATTAATGTTATTAAGAATATGTATATGGATAGCAAAACTAGGGTTCACACTACATGTGGAGAAACTAAAGATTTCTCTGTTGAAGTGGGACTACACCAAGGGTCAGTACTTAGCCTATACCGTTTTTCACCAGGCTTAGATGAAATAACGAAAGATATCAAAAGGATATCCCATGATGTATGTTGTTTGCAGATGACATAGTGTTGTTGGATACTTTTGAGTGCTTGGGAACAAAATTAGAAACTTGGTGAAATGCATTAGAAGCAAAAGGTTTAAAAAATAGTAAACTAAAACAGAATATATGGAACTTAAATTTAATAAAGGCTTTGGAAAGTATATAACAATAGCAAGTCTAAGACCACAAGTTTACTCAAAATCATTATTTTCAATTCTCGGATTAGAAATTCAAAAAAAAAAAAATGGTTTTGTTGGACAAATATGCTTGATGTTTCTCATGTAAAGATGGCTGCGTATTTGTCTGATTAACCATAATATAGTCAATTTTTAATTGAGGGCTTGCTGCATTGTACCTAGAGTTTAAACTTCGCTTATCATATTTTTGGAGTTTCTGCTCCAGATTCACCATGTTCAAAATCAACACAACTCTGTGAAATTTACCATTGGGCATATTCTACATGATTCCCGAGAACTGCTTATTTTAGTTCCTGGCCAAAGCAAACATTTTTGCGCCTCCTTGACATTTTTGGGCATATTCTACATGATTTTTAAGAACTACTTATTCTAGTTCCTGGCCAAAGCTAACATTTTTGCACCTCCTTAACATTTCTACTCTCCTAGTCACAACCCCACACCCCCCACCCCCACCCCCGGGCCCAAAAAATAATAATAAGATAGGACAATTCATAGCTCCTTCAATCTCGTTAAACTTGGTTGTTCCTTTTGAAAATAAATGACTAAAGCATGACAAGTATGTTTTGCTGGAATCATATGTGTAATGGGATTTATGATGCATCTATGACCTCCTTAACATTATTAATTTTTATGGTTTCCTACACAGTATATATGAGTTGGACACTTGGACCTCCTTAACTTTCTACTGTACTTGTGAAAATAAAAATCAGAGGACATTGATAAATTTTTTTGTTCCCCCTTATCAACCTGAATTATTGGTAGCATTCTGTTTAATTGCTTCTTTTTTCCCTGGAAATTTAGATTTTATTAAAAGAAACAGACTTAAAGCTACAAGGAGCATACCCTAGGAGAGAAGAAACAACTCAAAAAGGACAGCAACAAAAACAAAGAAAGGAATATAGCTGACAGCTAAAATAAAAATATGCAAATCTAAGTACGTGCCTCAATTAGAGCACCAAGAGCAAAGCTAAATTCTCTGGTTCATTGAGAAAGGGAGTTATACATAAATGAGATATTCTAACAAGTATATTCTAATTTTTCCAGAATTCTTGCACAACTCTTCGCAAAACCTTTATTGCTCCTGAAATGTATCTCCAGCCCAATACTCAGCTACCAATGCACTCCTCCATATACAGCTCCTCTATTACATCTTCGACTTAAGTAGAAATATTTTTATAATGATGGACTCTGATTGAAGGTGGTATTGGCATACTTTGTGAGAGAGTTGGTCCAGCTAAATCAGTTGAAAATAAAATATTTTTTTTGGAAAAGTATTTGTTGTTGTATTAATAATTTGTAATTGTATTTTTCGCTTTGCAAAGAGGACATATCAATTATAGCGGTTTTGTTTTTGATGATTTGTTGAATCCCCCTCCCCACACATAAGTCAAATAAATTATGAAATGTTTACTTTTATAAACAAATCAATAAACATAAATTTTTAATGAATTTTGGAGGTTTTTTATTGAATTTTTTTAGACCATTTAACACAAACATTGACTTACTTATAAATTCAAAGTCTTGTTCCTATTAAAAATGCATCGTAATAATATTTTTTACTAAATTAATGAGTAATAATATGTTTAAACATTAAATAATTTAAAATTCATATCATAAATAATACTCTCTCCGTCCCACAAAAAATGTCATGTTTGGGGAACTGTGACTCACAACTGAGTCACAGTTCCCCAAACATGACATTTTTTTTGGGACGGAGGGAGTATGTGATATAATAAAATAATACTCGTAATAATAATACAATTCAAAATTAGCATTTAGAATATAATTAATAAATTTATGTTTTTTTTCGCATTTTTGAACAAATACCATCACTAAAGAGTAAAGATACTATAAAGAAATATAATATATATATAACCTTCTTCAACTGATGGACCCGTTTCATCTGATGGACCTAGTTTTATGAATTCTGATTTTCCAAAGGACGGACGGCGTGAGGTGCGGCCTTTACAAGGTCGTCGGCTGAGAAATAAGAAAAAGCTTCTTCTCCCTGCAATCCGAAGGAGATGGTCTCGCAGGGAGAAACAGAAATGGGTGGTGAATAGCATGTCTGCTTCATCTTCGGGTAAGTCCACCTCTCAGCCGAGATGCTCTCTTCTTCATCCTTCCTCTTCCTCTTCCTCTTCTTCTCCTCCTTGTGGGGTGACAAAGCGGTGTACCGGATTGGGGAAGGAAGGGTTGTCCTCTTTTTCCAAAAGGTTGTCTCCGGTTTTTGAGGTAGCATCGGAGAAGCGTTTGGCTGAGCAGATTTGCAATGGGCAGGGTTGTTTGGTGGGATCCGTGGGGTCTCTTGATAAGAAACGGGAGGGCGTCACTGTTTGTGTGGGACGGGATGTGCAAATATGTTTGGATGATGTTTCTGCTACTGCTTTGTTAAAGGACCTACGGGTTCACTTGGCATTGAAAGACTTTCAGGTTGAGCCAGGGGGCCTTCTTTCAGATGAGGAATTTGGGACTCCGATGGATGGTTGCGCTCCTTTCACCTCTGTTCCTGAGGATTGGGAGGGAGTTTCGTGTTCTTCTCTTGATGGGGAGCTGGGGTTGATTCAGTGGGAAGGAGCTGAGCAGGCTGTGGAGACGTGTGTTCCTTTGGCTGTCATTCGACCAGAAGAGGAGTGTTCGGAAGGTGTTGCTGATGTTGTTGGAAGGGGGGTTGTGGAGGAGGAGTGGTTTCGAGGAAAAGGGGTAGAGGTGGGCTCTCTTTTGGGAGTGTCTTTTGAAGGGCGAATGGAGGAGCCATTGAGTATGTTCCATGGTATCCTTAATTCACAGCTTTTTGAAAGAATGGGAGGCAGGGGTGGTGTTCAGGAAGGGGTAGCTGAGAGGGAGGTGCGGAGATCTGCAGATCTTGTTACTTATGAAAGGCGGAATAGGGGGTCCAGGGAGAGGGACAATGGGAGGAGGAGTGGGACGGATTTTGCTACTGTTTCCCTATGAAGCTACAAATCTTGTCATGGAATGTGCGGGGTCTAAATAACCCGATGAGGAGGAAAGTGGTGAAGTCGGTTATTCGTAAAGGGGGAGGTCATGTGGTGTGTTTGCAAGAAACCAAGATTGCTTTGATGACGGATTTGATTGTGCGAAACATTTGGGGCGGGAGATTTGTGAAGTGGTGTGCCTTGGATGCCAATGGCTCTGCGGGTGGTGTTCTTGTTTTGTGGGATAGCAGATGGGTGTCTTTGGTGGATTCTCGAATTGGGAACTTCTCTGTTTCATGTGTGTTCTCTATGGTGGAGGATGGTTTCCATTGGGTCTTTTCGGGTGTGTATGGGCTTACGGATGATCTGGCAAGGCCGATGTTGTGGGAGGAGCTGGGGGATTGTGGTGGGCATTGGTTGCTGCTGTGGTGCATAGGAGGAGATTTCAATGTTGTTCGCTCCCCTTTTGAGAGATCGACGGGGGGAAGGTGGACGTCTGACATGAAGTCCTTTTCGGCTTTCATTGATGATTCTGGGCTGGTTGACTTGCCTTTGGAGGGAGGGCCTTTTACTTGGTCTAGTGGACGCTCTCCTCCTACCTTCTCTCGGCTCGATAGATTCTTTGTGTCGGGAGAGTGGGAGGAGAAGTTTTCTAATGTTGTTCAGGCTACTTTGGCTCGCCCTATTTCTGATCATGTTCCGTTGATGTTGGATTGTGGTGGGTTGCGTAGAAGACCATCTCCATTCAGATTCGAGAATATGTGGCTTCGTGCTGAGGGTTTTCTGGATAGAGTTCGAGCTTGGTGGGATGGGTTTGGGGGGGTCGGTACCCCAAGCCATTTGCTCGCGGTTCATTTGTGTCTTCTTAAGGAAGACATCAAGATTTGGAACAAGGAGGTCTTCGGGAATCTTATCTGGAGAAAGAATCGGGTCTTTTCTGAGATTGCTGATATTGACCGAATGGAAGTCAGGGGGTCCTGACGGACTCCCTGAAGGTTAGGAGGGTGGAATGTCAGGCGGAATTTGCTGAGATTGCTGTTATGGAGGAGATTTCGTGGAGACAAAAGTCTCGTGGTTTGTGGCTTAAGGAAGGTGATAGGAACACGAAGTTTTTCCATCGCTTGGCCAACGCTCATTGTAGGGGCAACCATATTGGTAGGATTCGGGTGGAAGGTGAGTTATTGTGCAAGGAAGATGAGATTTGCAAGGGTATTGTTGACTTCTATGCGAAGCTTTTCACAGAGACTGTTGGGTGGAGACCTTTGCTTGAGGGGCTCCAGTTTGATTCTATCTCTAGTGAGGAGGGCTCTGGTTTGGAGGCGCTTTTTTTTGAAGAGGAAGTGCTGGTTGCTTTGAAGAGCTGTAACGGGGATAAAGCCTCGGGTCCGGATGGGTTTACTATGAGATTTCTTTTAGACTGCTGGGAGGTGGTCAAAGGGGAAGTAATGGGCACTTTTCATGCTTTCCACACTCTGGGCTCTTTTGAAAAGAGCTTGAATGCCACTTTCATCGCCCTCATTCCCAAAAAAGGGGGACTCTGGATGTTAAGGATTTTCACCTTATTAGTTTGGTGGGGTGCATTTATAAGTTGATTGCCAAAGTTCTTGCTAATAGATTGAGGAAGGTTTTGGTTGGAGTCATTTCTGACTCTCAGATGCCTTTGTGGGAGGTTGTTAGATTCTAGACTCAGTTCTTATTGCTAGTGAATGCGTTGATTCCAGATTGCACAGTGGGTTCCAGGCATTCTGTGTAAGTTGGACATCGAGAAGGCATACAACCATGTGAGTTGGAGCTTCCTTCTTTATTTGATGGAGAGGATGGGGTTTGGAATGCGATGGAGGAAATGGATTCATTTTTGTATTTCCAGTGCTCGTTTCTCTGTGCTTGTGAATGGAGTTCCGTCGGGTTTTTTCTCTAGCTCGAGGGGGTTGAGGCAGGGAGATCCGCTTTCCCCTTTTTTGTTCCTCTTTGTAATGGAAGCCCTCAGTAGGTTGATGAGGAGAGTTGTGGAGCTGGGTTTTCTGAGGGGTTTCCGGGTGAGCAGCGATGTTACTAGTCAGTTGGAGATCTCGCACCTGATGTTTGCAGATGATACTTTGGTTCTGTATGATGCAGATGTGTCCCAGCTCAGATATCTGAAATGTGTTTTGATTTGGTTCCAAGTTGTGTCCGGCCTTAAGGTGAATGTTGGAAAGAGTGTTTTGGTTCCAGTCAGTGACGTCCCTAACATCGGGATGCTTGCGAGCATTCTTGGTTGCCGTATAGGCTCTTTTCCCATTTCTTATCTAGGGTTGCCCTTGGGTGCTCCTTCGAGATGTGTGGGGGTTTGGGATCCAGTCGTGGATAGGTTTGAGAGGCGGTTGGTAGGGTGGAAGCAGCAGTATCTTTCCAAAGGGGGGCGAGTGACTTTGATCAAGAGTACCCTTTCTTGTCTTCCCACCTATTTTATCTCTCTTTTCCAGATTCCATCCTCGGTGGCGGAGAGGATTGAGCGTTTGCAGCACAATTTTTTGTGGGGAGGGAAAGGGGAGGAATTCAAGTTTCACCTGGTCCGTTGGAAGCAAGTTTGTAGGCCGATTCGGAATGGAGGGTTGGGGCTTAGAAGATTGGTGCTTTTCAATAAAGCTCTCCTTGGGAAATGGTTATGGAGGTTTGGGATGGAGAGGCATTGGCTTTGGAGGAAGGTCGTGGTGAGCAGATTTGGGGAGAGTAGAGGAGGGTGGTGCTCTCTTGAGGTGCGTGGTCCTAGGGGTGTGGGGGTTTAGAAGTTTATTCGACAGGTTTGGGTTGATTTTTCTAATCATGTTCGGTTTCGTCTTAGGGATGGTAGGCGGATTAGTTTTTGGGAGGATGTCTGGTGTGGGGACATCCCTCTTGCTCTTGCTTTCCCTCAACTATTCAGGATTGCTTCGGAAAGGCAAGCCAGGGTGATCAACTGTTATCATCTTGATAATGGGAGATTGGTTTGGGATATTCGATTCAAACGTCTGTTTCAGGACTGGGAAGTTGATGATGCCATTCGTCTTCTAGAGGTATTATATCGGTAGAGTGTTATGGTCGGAGATTCTGATATTTGGATTTGGGCTCCCAATGCTCAAGGTCGCTTTAATGTGCGGTCTTTCTTTAGGTGTCTCACTCAAGAGCCTGAAGGTCCTTTCCCATGGAGGGCAGTTTGGCGTTCTAAGCCTCCTCTTAAGGTGGCCTTCTTTGCTTGGACCTCTGTTTTGGGAAAGATTTTGACTCAGGATAATTTGAGAAGAAGGAATCAGGTGGTGGTTAATCGGTGTTATATGTGTCGTCGGGATGAAGAGTCAGTGGACCATCTTCTTTTGCATTGTCCTTTGGCCAAGGATTGTTGGGATTTGATGCTTGGCCTGTTTGGTTTTATGTGGGTCATGCCTGGCTCTTCGAGAGGTTTGATTGAGGCTTGGAAAGGCTAATCTGTGGGGGCTCACATTCGAGAGGCTTGGAGGGCTATGCCTCTTTGTATTTGGTGGTGCATTTGGCTTGAGAGAAACATGAGATATTTTGAGGGAAAAGAGTCTCCTATTTCTGTTCTGAAATTCTCCATTGTTTTCACTCTTTTTCGTTGGGTTTCGGGTAGAGATTATAGATCTATTGAGGACATTGTTTATTTTTTGGCCTCTTTGAAGGCTTAGTGGTTTTTGCTTTTTGATGTTCCTTTGTTCCTTTGGGATGCACTCCCCTTTTGAGTGTTTTTTTTATTCAATTCTTACTTATCAAAAAAATATATATATAACCTTCCAATATATTCTGTGTGTCTAGCTAGTAATCAAACTGTACCCCCAATTTGGCACCCATGTATTGCATTCTTCTACAAACCCACCCAACGGCTACTTTCCCTGCTCTCTCTTCTCACCACAGCTTCAAAACCCTAACACCCCCACTATTCAAACAATTCACCCCAAACCACTCAAACCCTAGTCCAACCCTCTCTCTGAGCCAAACCCTAAGACCCCAAATCAGATGTGTGGTGGACAGTGATGGTGGTACTGGAAACTGGGACAAATGGATACCCAGAAATATTATTGCAGCTGATAAAGTTCTGAGATTGATATCCGGTGCTACCTCCAGTCCCATTTGCCAGTTCATATCTTCCCCAACCACGTTCTTGCATTCAGTGCCCCAGAATCAAATTGGTAATTTCAATTCATTTGTATTTTGATTGTTTTATAGTTGAGACTTGATGAATTAGTTAACTTTGTAATTGCGGGGTTTTGAATATTTTCACTTTCTCTTATTTGGGTGGCTTTAGGGTTTAGGATTTGGTTAATGAGTTCTGAACTTCAGCTCTGTTTGGTTGATGTGAAAAAACAAGCATAAGTCCCGGAAAATAAGATTTAATGGGATGTTTAATGTTGTTAATGCTCTACCCAAGTAATGTAACATTATGCATCCTTGTAAGCCTATATCTGTTTTTGTTTATTTGATGAACTAATCAAGTTCAAGCTCCCAATTAAGAAATCAAGATGATAAAGGCGTATATCTGTTGTATTTATTTATTGCGGTTGAGGTCCTAAATGTAAAGGCCGAATCTTTGAGCTATAACTTGTATGTTAGGATGGAGTTCAGGTCCCAATATTATTATTAAAAAAAAGGTGGTGTTGTCATCTAGAGTTTAGTGATACAGTTCTATTATTACTCTGTATTAAATAGTGCAATAACTTGTTAAAAAGGTAAGGCTTTCTATAATGAGGCATTTTCTCATAATGTCCCCAACACCATACAGAAGAGATTAGCTGTTTAAGTAGAAGAGACATTTGAATTATTGAGATTGGCTATCTTGTTCTTGTTGATTTTGCACAAAATTTCTTGAGGGCCTAATTTTGGAAGAAGTCTCTCATTTTGCTAAGAAAAAACTATTTAGTTGTGTGTTTATGTTTTATTTTTCTCCTTTAACTATTGTTTTGTTCATTATCTTAGAAATTATTTTCCTAAAAACTAGTGGTCTTGATTATGCAGGCATGGCTCCTGGCTCTTGTTATTTTACCAGCAAGGTCACATATTATAATGTGCTTTGGATTAGTCATATATATATGGGTTCTCCCCAAACATGTGTGGATGGTAAGTATAGCTTTTCAACTTTTTGAGCTCGTAGAGTCAATTACAGAAGGATTTTTTTTTTTCCCTCGTGATTGAGAACATTTTTAGTAGATTTATTTGGTTTTGTTTTTGAGGACATTTTTTGTGACATGGAGTTGTGAGTTAATTAGCTTTATTTTCTGTGAGTTGTTTATGTTGCTAGAAGATGTTGTTATGGAGCGTTATTATGTTTTATCTTATTTTCTGTATTCTGAATAATGCATAATGTTTCTCAATTAAAGATCATCATGGGAACTCCATTGTTAATTCTCTCCAATATTCTTGTAGGATCAATTGGGAAGAGTAACACTGCTCTCAGGTATTTTATTTATAATGCTGGGGCTGGGTACAGATGGTGTACCTCCCCTTATCCAGCAAAGAACTTTGCCACCTTCAGTAATAGGATTGACAAATCTTCCGGCATCTTTGGGAGGTTATTCATATGTAATTATGAAGTTTGGACCACTACAGCTTACAAGGAAGGGCTTGTCTGTAGCAAGCACGTCTGCATGTTTAACTTTCATAGTAAGTTAGATTTCTTTGATTTACACATATAGAAGTCGAATCATTTATATATCCGTGAATCATTGGAAAGAACAAGCCCTTTTATAGAACGAAGCTTTGTTACGAAGTTGGAAAGAGAAGAAGAAGAAGAAGAAGAAGAAGTAGCAGCAAAAGAAATATTGGGCTTGTGAAAAAAAATTCCTTCTCTTATATCCCTTCTTATTGATGATTTGGCATTATTGTCCACACGCAAAGGCACCTTTGATTCAAATTTGTATTATCGATCAATAGTGGTAACTGTCAATTTTTAACGAAACTTTGAATAGGAAAAGCAGCACTGTAAATAGTTTGGCTTTTTATTGTATCAAGTTTCAATGCTTTACATATAGTAGGCGCCGGTTGTCTTGGCATGAGTTTCAATCTCTCATAATATAACTATGCACTGAATACATGAATGCAATCTCATGATTTTTATATTTTAATAGATTATTGAAATTATAAATCTATCAGTTCCATTCGATTCAAAAATTCTTTGAACTTCCAAAACCTTGTATTGATTTATTATTTCATGAATCCTATCTTGGAGGGAAATTGTTATAGCTGCCAAGTTTTGAAACTTTTGGACAAATATCCAAATAAAATCACTTCTAATGGCTGAACAAATTTTAAGGCTATGATAATTCTTTTTTATACTTTACCACCTTTGTGCAAAAACTGTTGTTAACAAATATTGTAGGCAGAGGGAGGATGATTTTAAGTTTCTTGGGGTTTCTGGAAAAGGTTTTAAATTCCATGGACAGGCTCTTCTATTTGAAAGAGGTAAGGTGATAACTGATAACCACAAAGAACTTAAATGCTCATGTAAAACTCTAAGAGAAAGTAGAGACAAAATCGAACTTTATTGTTTCTTGAAAACACAAGATAATTTCAATCATGACAATCATATACAAAATAAGTTTATTTATTAATTTTTTTCTTATTACCAAATAAAATATAAAAATGTGAACGTCATTGTTTCCTGAAATCTCTGAATGGTATAAATCATGAAAATCATCGACAATATATATATATATATATATATATATATTTTCTGGTTACAAAAAAATTGAGTTCTATTTATTTATTTATTTCCCACTAAGTAGAAAATATAAATTTGAAATGTTAGGTCGAAAAGAAAATAAAAGGGATTTATTCTTTTGAGTTGTTCTAACTCTTCTTCAGTGTTGCAAGTTTTCTTTCTTATTTATCATAATTTAGGAAGGAAGCAGTTGTTATTAAGCTTTCATGAATTTTGTCTGGTTGCTTGGATTGTATTATATTTCTGAGAAGTAGGTCTCTATTTTTCTGAAAGATCTTCCAAAGCGCAAGCCTCTGCATGACCACCACAACCCCAGAGCAACTTGCATAAGCTTTGCAATGGTTTGTGCTCCCCTTGAAAAAATTTGGTGTTCCAGTGGGTGAAGTTATCCTTACTCTCCTACTTTCTCCGAGGTTCATCAATCTGGTGGTTAATGAGGTAAGCTAAGATTTGGTTTTATGAATTTTTTTCATATATGTCAATGGATTGTCACTATAATTTTCAATGAAGTTTTATACGGTAAATTATCAATCAATGGTATTTAATTGTAAAAGCACTTACCAATACTTAGAATCTTGGAATTTCTGCAATACATGGCAGGTCCGTAATGTTGCACTGGGGATTATGTCTCGTAGGATAGATTGGCAACGGTTGACAATTAGGAGACAATCGATGGTACTATATAATTTGGCATACAAAATATATCTTTCTATATATTTATGTATCTTTATCAGCAATAAAATGGAGTTGACGGGTTTTGAAAGATAGTACTGTTTCTGTTAGATTGTGATATGCTATTATCCAGTACCTCCGCGAGTTACATGGCTCACATGTTGGTCCCTAAATGGTTATTTTGCATAGAGAATTGAATGGGTTGATTGTCATTCTGATTTAATGATGTTCGTCTCTTGTCTCTCAATATTAAAATCGCACCAAGTATTTGTTTGGTTGTGATGAAACCAATTAGTTAGACATAGTTGTCTTGATCATGGAGATATGCACTGAAATGAACCAAAAAATGTCCCAAAGCTCTTGGTTCCGTGTCCCGTACTACTGAACAGAACTCCCTTTTTATCACCTGAGAATTGAGTTTGTCCTAGTTTTGGTACTTTCTCTTCAGATTGCCTTTATTATGTTCAGTATATGCTTTCATTACAATGCGTATGGCTTGCTTGAATATTGTATTGACTCTAAAATATTTATTTCAGATTTTATTTTTTTGTGACTCTGCAGCTTTCTTTACATACATTCGCCGGGTGTTCAAAAATATATTTAGCCACGCAGAGCAGGTTTCTCAGGTTTGATATATTTTCTAGAAGTTGTTAATTCTTTTTTCATTTAGGCAATGTGTCCTTAACTTACTAAGTTTGTATTTTCATGTGGATGGGTAACTCGAAATTTGAACTTAAAGAAAAGACACCTTGTGTGTGTGTGTGTGGGGGGGGGGGGGGGGGGGGGGGGGGGGGGGGGTGGGGGTATTGGTGGTTTGATGAAAAGAGATGTGAAAGCCTTACCCCTCCCCCCTACCTGGTTGGTTAATAAGAAAAAAACTTTCTATCTAGGGGGAGGGAAATTGACCAGGAGAGATGTGAGAGCCCTACTTTTATAGGGCTACAAAATTTTCTGTTTCCCATAGATTTCAATTGTGGGAGGAAGGTCAATGTGAGTGCAAGGAAAGACATGCATGCTAATAAAAGTTCACTATATGTTCATTTTTCCTCATTCTTTTAGGAGATATCATCCTCCTTATTTCTGTTTCCTTCTTGTTAATAATATTCTTCTCATTCCTTATCCGTTAAAAAGATATATGATATTGTGGCTTTCGGTAATGAAATTTTTAAGTATCAGAAACAATGGGCAAGAGCTTTAGGCGGTGGAACTAGAATTTTGGTCAAATAAAGGAAGGTGAGAACTGTGGGAAAAGATTTTGAGTCGTGAAGGATAAGAAAGACCCAGTCACTCTGTAGGAATTTTCTTCTTAATCACAAGACAGCTCTGCGAGCTGTCTCTTGATATAATAACATTTATTTGAATAAGCTGATACTGGCCCCAAGTCAAGGAGTCAATGATGACTGTGTCCACCCTGTTTTATGACTTTTTATTGTCACTGAGGCTACCAAGACCTGAAATGGCCGAGTTGTCTTGGTCTCAGGATGGTTGACCATCTAAGTATACCTTATGCGATGTCCTTGATGAATTGAATTAGTTTGTCTGCCCTGTTTTGTAACTCTTTCTTGTCGCTGAGGCCAAAAATAGTTATATGACTCAGTTGAGTCGTTTTGGTCTGGTGCTGATAGACTCTAGAACTTTGCGTTGACCTAGCTTATGTGATTTCAATGATGATGCTTATATTTGGTAGTGCCAATCTCCATGCATAAAGTCCTCAATTGATATTAGTTTGAATAGTTATTCCCACCTTAAGTTCTAACTTTTAAATCTGATCAGTTCTGTGGCTTTACAGGCAATTATTTTTATAGGTTTTCGAGGTGACAGCAACACTCAGCAAGATTTACTTCCCACCAGACTCATGTATTGGGGTTGCAGATATTGTTTCCTTGTTGTGCCTTGGTGGTCTAATAGGTGCTGCTGCTTTGTCGGAGAACTTTATTGTCTGATGCTATCTTGATTCTTGGTACAGGAATTCTTTCATCTTGTATCATATCCTCTCCAGTAAGAGTTTTATGTTTCCCCTTTACTGAGCTTTGCTTCTCCCTTGATTTGATGTGGCTTGTTGAATCTATACCATTCAAATCTTTAAAAAATTATTGAGTACCAATTCCCCTTCATTGCGCCATCTTTTTAAAAGCATCTCAACGTATCTCCTGTGCAAATAAAGTATTTGTGAATATCCATACATGTTTATCTGAGCACTTCATGTTATATTGGGGAAAGTACATACAATTCTCACATCTGCTTGCTCTTCTTCTCACACACCTATGTGCATGAATATGAATGCAAGCATACCCAAAAGAAGGTACGGTCTTAAATTCATGCATTAATTCTTGGTATTATGGTGTGACTTGGTGGAAATATGAGATCTCACAAAATTTTGATCAACAATTTTTGTGCTGAACAAAGATGTATAAGATCCATATTTCTTATTATTTGAAGTATCCTAGAAAACTAGCTTCACACCCTAGGTTTCTTTGGCATTCATGCATTTAATATAGCCTGGTTGCTTGCTACCATGTTATTAGTTTCTAGTTATGGATTCAGCTCCTCTTTTAAATTGAATCCATTCGCTTCTTTCCACTGGTGAACTCAGCAGCCAAGATTTTGCTATGTCATCTAATAAGGAAAATACCCAAACCTTCCCAAATGCTGTTGTTTCATATGGTTAATAACTTAAGTATTTCTAACGGTAACAGGATGCTGTTAACCCGCAAAGTTTTAGGATCCCGTCAGGTCATTCATCTCTCTCCCCCTCTCGTTATCTGAATATAATGACCACGGGGATGGAGGTCATTGGATGGTTAAGATTTCTGGCTATGTAGAATTCCTCCACCATCTATTCCTTCTCTGATATCAAATAAGTCGCTGCTATTTTGCCCACATCATATCATTTTGATCGAATCACATGTCCATTACTGAGATGGGTCTTTAGAAGAAAGAAAACGAGAAGGAGATTGGCATCTCCAAGTAGAGAAGACTGATAGGCTGGAGGGGTCAATGAAATGGGTTTATCTAAATTTACGATCTCATTCAACATTGCCCTTGAGAGAGAACAAATGAAATCCCAAATTGTTGCAAGCAAAAGAACTGTCTGTTGTGAAGTCTTTCTAATGTATTTCTATTTGTGGGTATAATTAAATATTGATTTGTTGCTCGTAAAATGGATCTTTTTGTTCATCAGCAACGTGGTCGAGTCTTAAATTTTGATTCTGTTGACGGTATAGATTGCATCGCATTTTCCCTGTTGGTGTTGTAAATATAAAATGGAAGCATTTGGAGTGATCTTTGGTGTTGTTTCATTTGGAGTGGTCTTAGGTGTTGTTTCATTAGATGATGTGACAAAATCTTGTCTGTGCAATTCACCGATGGAAAACAGCTGATGGATTCAGTACCATAGAGGAAACGAATCCATCCAGCTACATGGCTTTCTGTGCTGGATATTTTTCACTGAATTTGGCTGACTGTGACCATGCAGAGAAACTTCTGTCATAATGAAGTCGGAACATAAAAAAAAAAATTAGATCTAACTTCTCCTGTTCAATTGGATGATGGAGTTCTGTGGAAGCAGTTCTTGGAAAGAACCCTAACATTCATTATATTTATGCATGTACCAAGGTCAGTGCAT